AACTACTGATACTCCTGGGTTGAAACCATTTACTATGATATATAGTTTGTGGGAATATCCTTGAAAATGGTGCACGTATGAGATTTTTTCTGGAGGCAACCACAAAGGTGTGGAGTAACCTTAAATGACCTTGTTCTCCATGAGTTGTTGAAGTTCACTGGATAGTGCACCCACCTAGTAACATTCAATAGATCATAGATTCCATGCAATTCCTGTCAGGGACTCACAATTTTTCTTTGTCCCATGCTCATGTCATGTTGATCAATTCACCTAACCTTTCACATTCAAGATGATCACATCACAGAAATTGATTTGTGCTAAGATACCTCTTCAACTTTATTCAAAGAAATTACTAATGTGTGATTCAGTAAGTTGATAGAAAATAGAACTAGCATAACTGTTGAGGAAATAATGATCTGAGCAAACAGAATTTACATTTTGATGATCAAAATATACGATGTTTTTTCGAATTCCTGAAAGAAAAACAAAACATCTTCTCCATGTAGAAGTTTGAGAGAAGTTGTGAAAACTGTGGATTATCATGTATACATTCACGATGACATAACCTTATTCAAAACTTTTCGCTAAAATTAACTATAGAAGTAGTTGTCGCATGTGGCCATCTAGTTCGTGGAATGACAATTTAAACAATCCCGAATTGCAAAAATTCAAATTACCAACAAATATATTTCTTACATTTTAGATGTTAGAACCTACGTACAATTAAAGCCACTCACTGATTTGAGATTTCGAAGAGTAAATGAAAATATAAATAAATCATCCTTATCTGCTTCCATTCTACTAACTAGGAAATTCTCTTTTGTTGTGTCACGGAAGATTTCAAGAAGTCAAACTATACAAAAGTATTGTATCCCCTTTTCCTGACGTACATGATTTTTTTTTTGTCAGAAACCAAACGGAACCAAACGTATCTGCAGAATTTTACCCGATGTAGAAGAGTATGCGAACAAAAAGACCGCTGATTCTACTATAACGCCTCATGTACACTAGCACTAAATAAGACAAAACGCGCGTAATAGTTTACGTGCGTGTACACCATGTTCATAAGTA